AAATCCTTTTTAAAACACACCCTAAAACAAAACAAAATGAAATGAAAATTAAAAGCAAAAAAGAAAAATGCAAACTCAAATTCCGGGCTGCCTCCCATAAGAGCTTTTTTTTGAGGAGTCGTAAGCCAGACTCCTTCCCGCCATACGGTGCAACAGTATCTTTCTGTAACACCTGGTTCCTGGTATGCATTTAAATTATAATTTATTCATTTTGTAGAGCAACTTGACGAGTTGGGAGCCCCGAACTCGTCGAGTAGAGCTCAAAGGAGACGCAAGATTTTAAGTAACCTACTCGACGAGTTGAGAGTCCCAACTCGACGAGTAGGGCTGCCAGGATGAAACCCTAATTTCATGGTTTTGCACCCTATTTAAGCATCCTGATCCCCACTTGCTGACCTCATTTCCTGCCTCCAAGTCCCAAACCCTAGATTCAGAAACCCTAATTGTAAGCTTGTGAGCCATTTTTGAGTGAAACTTTGTGTGTTTTGAAGCTTGTAAAGGAAGGAAAAGCTTGGGGATTCAAGAAGAAGATAGTAGATCCAGAAACTTCATTTATTCCTCATCATTTTCTGGTAAGCAAGTCTCAAACTTGCTTAGTAGCTTCTTAGATCTCTTTATCATCATCTTATTGGGTTTTTGGTCCAAGAAGCTTGACCTTTGGGATTTGGACGTCCCAAGTGAGTGAACCATCATATATAGAATCATAGAGGGATTTCATGGCTTAAAGGTGCAAACTTTATGATCATTGAAACCCCATGCAATCCATAAGATGTCATTTTGGCCTTTTAAGCTACAAAAGGCCATGCATGGAGTGAAAGGTGGAAGCTTTATGTGTTCATGTAGTGTTTAGAGTCTAGATCTCTATTTGTATGATTTAGTTTAGAGTATGGATGGCTTGTGGGCCAAGATCTAGGTCCTAAAGAGTTAGGGTTTGATCTAAACCCATTAAGTAAAGGTACTAATGGGTAAAGTTGGAAACTTTACCCTTAAAAGGACATTTTCAGTATATATGAGAAACATGAAGCTTATATCTAAAGAGTAGGGGCTTAATCCATTAAGATGGCCTAAACAGACTGACGAACTCATAGAATCCATAGAGGAACTCGACGAGTTGAGTCGATTTGTCTCGATTATGTACCAGGTAGAACTCAACGAGCCCGAGGAGGGACCCGGCGAGTTGACTCGCTTTATCACGACTACGAGTTGCAAGGGAACTTGGTGAGTTAGGGGGATGACTCAATGAGTTGGATCGCGATTTCAGGGTTCCTGATTTATAGGACTCGACAAGTTGATGGGTCAACTCGGCGAGGTGAGTCAACCTAGAACGTTGAGTTTGACCACAATGTTGACTTTAACCAGGGGTAAAGTGGTCATTTTACCCTAAGAAGGATTATTAGATTTTGACTGAGTGATTTTGTGATAATAATAGTCGGGGAGTCGTTGTAGCAATCGTTTTCCTCACGCGAGATTTCACTACTAGCTTTGCGAGGTGAGTTTTACTCCAGTAGGAACGGGTCGAAGGCACCAATGTCGGCCCATTTATGTATGTTAGCATATGTTCTTGAATTAGGTTTGATCCCGGGGTTAGCATGATGTACATTATATGTTTCCGGACTTTGATCCGATGCCGAGGAAAGCCCGAGGAATGTTTGTATGCTTGATGTCTTCGTGATTCTTGCATGTGTTTGTTTATGTGTTTCGAGCTTCGGTCCGATGTCGGGGAAAACCCGAGGAATGTTTATATGTTTATGTTTATATGTATTTGTTGATACAATTATGTATACCGGACTTCGGTCTGATGCGGGTGGGGCTCGGTGTAGTGGGCTAGGCCTAAGTTATGTGCTTACATGTATGGTTTGTGGTATTTTGGGGAGACTCACTAAGCTTTGTGCTTACATTTTTTAGTTTTGGTTTCACATACTTCCGATAGTAGGGGGAAGATCTCGGGATAATCGCATGACACACACCACAACGTTTATCGTGGGATGATTTACTCTGATGTTTTGACATATGATTTTGATATATTGACAGTTTTTTATGATATTTTTGAGATACACGATTTATGATTTTTATATGATGAGGCAAAATTATGGTTTCATTAATGATTTAAAAATGAAAATTTTAGACTGTATTTTTGGGATGTTTCACTTTCAAAATGACATCCTCTCTTTCCATGTTTTCCCTTGACATTCCTTATTCGTAATGCTTCATACGAAACCCCATTCACCTTAGATGTTGTTCCATCACAATTATATAACTCGATTGCTCCATGTGGAAAGGATTCTTTCACCATGAATGGGCCATACCAGCATATTTTTAATTTTCCTGGAAAGAGCTTTATCCTTGAGTTAAAGAGTGGGACCTTTGGACCGGGCTCAAAAGTTCTTATTTCCTCTTAACCTAGCATCGTGCCACTTCTTTGTTTTGTCTTTATACATCAAGGAATTAGTATATGCTTCATTTCTCAATTCCTCTAAGGCATTCATCTGCATTAGAAGTTAGTATGCAATTCGGATAATTCAAAGTTACAAGTCTTCAAAGTCCAAAATGCCTTGTGTTCGATTTCGACCCGTAAGTGACATTTTTTACCAAAAACTAGTTGATCAGACGTAGTACCAATTGGAGTTTTAAAAGCGGTTTGAAACGCCCACAATGCATCATCAAGCTTATCAGAACATACATTTTTATTACTTCCTACTGAACTTTCTAATATTCTTTTTAAAGCTTGATTTGTTATTTCGGTTTGGCCACTCGTTTGTGGATGATAAGGTGTCGCAAACCTATGGTGGACACCATATTTTTTTGAAACACCTGTTTCAGGTATTAAATAATTTACATGATTTTTAGGGTTTGTGCATGGACTCTACGAGTGGTTGCCCTAACTCGTCGAGTAGAGGCCATCTCATGGACGCGGAGTCAGGAACTACTTGATGAGTCAGAAGTATCGACTCAACGAGTAGGAACTGATGAGAGAAAACCCTAATCCCAGGGTTTGCACCCTATATAATCTCCTTAAGGACCTTGAGGCTGACCCTCTATCAGGCTCCAAACCTTAGGAATGTCTGTGCTAAACCCTAATCCCCATTCTCTTTCATTTTGTGGGCTAGAATGTATTGTGAAGTTTAAAAAGAAGGAGATAGTGAGAAGAAGAAGAAGATCCAACAAACCAAGCCCTCATTCTTGAACTTGACCACTTTGTGGACTTTGGTAAGTCCCCAAGATTCAAATTTTATCTTAGGACATGGCTGGATTTCGAGTTTACTCTTTATTTTCTTTCATTTCCACTGATTGCATGCATGGGGTTCATAAAGTTTGCAACTTTATGAATCTCCAGTGCAAAATAGTCCCAAGGTGCGCTAGATCTAGCTTTTGGTCAAACAAGAAAGCCATGCAAGAGTTTTAGAGCATAATTTCCCCGTTTTGGCCATTTTGACCTAAAGAAATGCATGTCCATAAAGCCTCCATCTTTGGAATGTTTTGACGACTAGAAACTCCTCTACAAAGAAAGGATTCTAGATCCCTAAAGTTTTGGTAATGCATGGCAAGACTTTGAGCTTTCCAACCTTGGATAAGGAACTTAGAGCATTTGGAGTGGTTATAGAGGCAAAAGTTGGAAACTTTATCCCTCTGGACACCTTAGGGTTTCAGATCTAAGCCCTGGAGTCCCTGCATTCGGTGAATCATCATAGTAAGAAAACAAGGAGGGGGACTTGATGAGTTCCCTAGCAACTTGACAAGTCAGATTGGGTTTCCCCACCTTCTAAATATCGAGTGAACTCACGGAGTTAAGGAAACAACTCGGTGAGTTGGCTACGGTTTGATAAGGTTGTCTAGAATCGGTAGGAACTTGATGAGTCGATAGATGCACTCGACGAGTTGTGGTCAGCATGGACTGTTGACCAAGGATGATCAGGGTTGACTTTGAGGGTAATTTTGGGATTATGACAAGTCTATCGTATGATGCTTATAGGCAGTTAAGTTGGAGCGACACGTGACACATATCTGATTCTAGCTTGTTAGTTTAACATTCGTGAGAGGTGAGTCTCCTCACCATGCCAATGGGTCGAAGGCACCAAGGCCGCCCATTATTTATTACGTATGTGTTATTGAGTTATGTGATATGCAATGTACTAGTTGTATCTATGAATCTTTTATGGAAGACCTTGGGAGGTTCCCGAGGCACTTAGGTATAAGACCGTGGAGGGTTTCCACAACTTCCTAGGCAAAGACCTTGGGGGGTTCTCGAGGCACTTAGGTGTAAGACCTTATAGGGTTTCCCTAGCATCCTAGGTCAAGACCTTGGGGGTTCCTGAGGCATTGGGCTAAGACAATGAGGGAGTTCCCAAAACACCCGGAGTAAGACCCTGGATGGTTTCTAGGGCTTCCTTATATGTTGGTGTTAGGAATAAATCCTTAACAATCGATTAGATTATGAACAAGTAAATTAATAACACAACGATGAATTAAAGATGTCGAATGATTAACAGTCACGCCTCAGAAGAGCTCTATAGAGAATTGCTACTGTAGAGGCGTGATTAGGGTTACAAAGTAAAGATCAGAGTAAACTAAAATAAGATGCATGCATGCACCTTAAATACCTAACCCTAGAAATAAATATGGGAGGACAGGCCTAACCCGTTTACATAATGAACTAAAATAAAAAGGCCCAATGACGCAACATTTAATACTCAACAATCTCCCCCTTTGCATCAATTGAGGCTATAGTCCATCAACTAGTGATTCGCTTCTGTACTGCATAGATTTTTGGGAATGAAGCTCAACACCACTTTACGAACTTGGATATACCACAAAATCATATCCGAAAAGCACTTGATGTCATCCTTGTGGTTGCCCTTGCACTTGGAAACCAAGTCAAATATAAATTCTAGACAAGAAGTAGTGTGCAGGTGTTTGTCTTCGAGATAGAAGTAAGACTTACAAAAGTCAGCTCCAGTTCATTCTCTAGACTGATACACCATGAACCATCTGTCCTTGTATATCTATCCTGGCTTTAGTTTTTCAAAGTCTTTTGGAGCTTCACTGGGAACAACAATAGGCTTTTTCCTCAAAACGGTGGAAATATCCACATCCATCTCACCAATTTCTTGAATGTAGGACTTGATCATTAGTTGGAGATGGGACAGAACAGGTTCGTACTTCTCTTTCTCTCTCAGCAACATGTTGTATAGAACAATCCAGTCATCAAGAATCAGATAGGGTAAGTCCGGGAGTGTGAATTTCTAGACCTGACTATCCAAACCTCTCGCTACTTTAAACTTCGCGTTGGGAAAGCTATCAGTCTTGATTATCCCAGTGACTTTCACAGCAACAATTTTGTTCGCACACCAAGTTTCATATTGGGGTTTCATGTGATTCAAGTAGAAGGAGAACAACATGTGATCAACTTCACTGTCTGTGATTGGAGCATTCGTAACCTTCATAAAAGCATGAAACCTGAAAGCCTTAGGAGTAATGGGTAGATCCAACTGCAAATCTTGAGAATGTTGAAGATCAAAGGATGCAACCAGATCCAACCAATACTGGCTGGTCAAATCCACAGTATCATGTTGGATTCGCTTTAGGGTCCACTTGGTAAAGAAGAGCATTTTTCTTTTGAGTGTGGATTGAGCTTCTTTTTCGGCTTTTTCTTTCTCCTCAGTCTCCTTGACGACACATTGATTTTCATTCAACTTTGCATCACGAGACTTCCGCCTTTTAAGTTCAGCTTCATCAGGTTCTTCTTCTTCGTCATTGTTAATTATGGGATCTTCACCAATCGGTTTTTCCTTGCCCTTAGGTTCTGTCTTGACAATGGGTTTGGTTGGGTCTTTGGGAGGTTTGTTTCTTGACACTCCAGATCCACCTTCTCCCCCTTGTTTTGAATAAGAGTTATGAGGTGAAACACCCTGCAGGCGTTGAAGCATAGCAAATACAGGACATAACTTTTCAGCTAAATGCTTCCAGACTGTGATGGTAATCATTGGGTCCCTGGTCTCAATGATAACTGAAAGTAATATTGTAACCTCTAAAATGCAGCTTCGTACAACTGCCTTTTCAAATAACAGATCCTTGACCTTTTTCTCAGCATTTTCTAGTTTGAGACCCAACACTTTGACCTTCTCTATCTTCACAGCGAGAGCATCCATGACCTTACTCTCCACCGCCAAATCATCTTGAAGTTTCGTGATCTATGAAGTGATGGATGTTTGAAATGTTTCATGATCCTTTTGTAAGCCAGTGCAAAGATTTTTCTAGTTATCCTTCTCTGCTTTGAACATGGAGCCCAAATTCTATAGAGCTGCATTTACAGAAACGGTGTTGGTGTTGTAGGTGGATTGGTAAGCTTCCATAAATGCAATTGTGTTAGAAATTAGTTTATCGACTTTTTCGGTCGTTGTCTTACAGCCTTCGGTAGAATCAATCACTGCCTTGTTCATCTTCGCAACATTATCTGCATGTTCCTTCGTTATGCGTTCAAACAAAGATTCAACCACTGCTTTGGAATAAGCTTTAGAAGATGAAGCTTTGGAAGCGAGAAGCATCTGGTCAATCTTTTGATGAAGGGACTTAAGCTGCCCTTTCGTGACAGTAGCTTCATCTTCACTTTCGGTCTTATCTGAAATGGAATGTAGGTGAATCCGCCAAGTTCATCATCATTATCATCCCCAAATATCATGTCTGTATCATTAGTGCGAATAAGGGAGATGGGAGGTGAAACAAGGGTTGAAAAGCCTGAAGTTTTAGCCCCCATATCAGATATGTTGACTAAGATTGTAGGTGTAGCTAAAGTAGTTGGTGGGATTTTGGAATCAGTGAAGATTGGAGTAAAAAGAGGAATACTGGTTTGAGATTGAGTAGAAACAGGTGGAGGATAGAGAGTAATGGTGATGTGTGTAGTAGTAGTTTTAGGAGAAGGAGGAGGAGAAGGAACAAAATCATTAAAAGGTTGAGTTACCTCTGGATTGGGATTTGGTTTTTCAGTACAAGTGTTGTCACCCTCTTCATTGCGAACTTCCTCATTGTGAACGAGGGGATCCTCCTCATTGCGAATATCCAAGTGAGTATCAGACTCGTCTTCGCTGTCACTCGTTGTGGGGGTCTTTCGCTTGCTAGCGGCTGCTTTCTCCATTTAGGAGCAGTCGGTTGAGGTACCTGTTGGTGCCTATCGTTTGGGTGAAGGTTTCGCAGTTACTGATGGACCTTCCTAGGCAATAGTTTTCTTTTCTCCTTTCTTATCACCCTTTCTGTTGGGTTTTGAGCATTCTAATACGCCTAAGTGTACATGCAACCCTAAATAAATTGGATCTATGTTTTCTCTATTATACATGCAAATATTAATTTCCAAGGTATTTATCCTAAATAGCATATTATGAAATACAAGTAATATAAAATCTAGTAGAATTACATACCTATTTGTTAGTGCTTGATTCCATGAAATACAAGTAATATAAAATCTAGTAGAATTACATATCTAGTAGAATTACAACTAATCCAACACTTTCCTCATTTCTTGGGTTTGTTAGTTGCATCAATTGTTGCTTGCATTTAGGGAGTAAGACGACGAAACCCCGAAGGAGTAAGTTTGCGAAAACCTTCCAGAATTTTTCTTGAGGCAGGCACGTCACGAAACATGGTCTCTTAAAAGGATCCGATAAATGAGAATTTAGAGTTATCAGCCACAATGATACCGGTTGTATGAAAGGTTGAGACAAAAAAATCAAGAGCATCTTGCATCACCGGTATGTTGTGCTTGATAATGGCCCTACGAACAATAAAGGGACCAGAACCGTGCACACGAAATTTCACTGTGATGAGTCATTGAGTGTGTGCTCTGTATTACCTGAGCCCAGAGTACCGCTCCAAAATCGATATTCAACCCTGTATAAATTCCATAGAGAAGAATTAAGAACAACTTACTGGCACAGTCAGACCCAGTAATCCTTTCTAAGAATCCTTGAACAGAAGAGTAAAGAAAGCGTTCCATTGTGGAGAAAATAAGGTTTTCAGAATTTTGAGACAATAGATAAGGTATCCTTGTACCCCATTTGATAGAACATCTCCAATAGAGTAGCATTGGAGATGGATTTTGGGTTGATCATGCTTTTCAGATTGTGGAAGCCCTAGAAGTGAACAAAATATGGATTTTGTGATTGAATTTTTCTGATCATGAATGTTGAATATGATTTTGTTTTCCTCCTTGATGTGACTTGCATAAGAGTACGCCTTAGACAGTAGGGACATCGGAACATCCTCCATCTTTGTTAGAGTGAACCAGTGGAGAATATTTTAAGCACTCGACAATTGGCAGGAGATAGGACTCATACTTGCACAGTTCTAGATCGATGATCAAATTCTAGTTGGGTTTTACAGTTAGAAGAGTAGAATGAATGGTTTGATCATGAACAGATGATGAAGTAGCCATTGTTGAAGCTTGAGAAAGAAGATGAACAGTTGAATATGTGAGCCTCGGAAATCTTTCGAGAGGATTTTGAAAGTGAGAATGAGAGAGGAACCGTCAAAACCTTTATATACCATTCGATTTGTGAGGAAAACCCAGAGAGAGAATGCCTCAGGTACTGAAACGTTGCCTGAAAAAGCACGACTTGACAACTGTAGAAGTGTAAAACCCATGCATCATACGGCACAAAAAGTAGTTGTTTGTTCAAATTTTCATGTGCCTTTTTGAATTCTTATCATCAGGAATTGTCGCGTCATCATCAACCTTTCGTAGCAAAACATTCTTTGACCCATCCATCACGAACATTCGTTTTTAGAAAACTTGGGTTACACTGTGAATCTGAAAGTAACATTAAGAACCATGAACAATACTTTTGAAAGATTGCAAGGACCTTCGTGCAAGAGTGTCAAAGATAAAGAAATAAATCAAAGTATATCTGAGGAATTTCATGATGTCTATATAAAGACACAAAACTGTTGATCCCAGGGATAGATCTCTTCCTAAGAAGTGTCTGTGTGGTTTCCCATTAAAATTCGATCAAATGTTTGATAAGAAACATTGAAAGGCCTCTTTTAATTTGGCTAAGTGAGTGGCTAACTCTCCAACCAAATAACGAACTTTATATAAGTATGGATGTTGGATGAAGTACTCGTGTGACTAGTGTAGTCAATTGAACGAGCAGGCTTGGAATTATTTTCGTGACTAGACAAAAATTTGAAATCTCAAAAATATAAAACTGGATCTTATGGGAAGAAGTGACTTGGTACAAGAATACTTCATAAAGATCTCGTAACAGTAAAAGAGATTTCTTTGTAAAAACCACGAAGATGGTGTTTGTTAATTCCATGGTGAAAATTAAGAACATGTAATTGTTCACTATCAATTCATGTAAGTGTGTTGGATTTTGGGTTTCACTTAGTTCGTGGTGAACGAAGCTAAGATCATGAACTCAGAAGTTGTGTAGTTATAAACCTCAGTGGTATTGTTAAGAGTCTCAAGGGTTACATTTATGAGTGCGAAGGTAAATGGAGAAGAGTAAAGGTGGTTCCATAGAAGTGAATGTACCTCTGCTATGCAAATTTGACTAAGCAGATAACTCTTAAGTCAAGATGAGAAGAGTAAGGTAGCTCATGACTAATGTGAATTTAACAGCCTGGTTTGGAAGAAATGAATGGTAGATTCGATTTATTAAGGCTTCACATAAAGTCTATTGAGGCTTTAGATAACATGCAACAACATGATTCTAGGGACGCTTAGCTAATACATCGATAAAGAACTTTATACCTGCCCCATCATATGAATTGATAGATGTCACGAACATCCTCCATGAGCTTTATGTATGTATTATATTTTTGGTATTTTTATGATTTATGAAAATAAAAATAAATTAAAATAAAACACAAGGAAAATATTTTTGTAATTTTGTTTTTCAAAAAGAATTAAAACAGAACTAAATAAATTATTTTTGGATTTTGAGATTTTTTGAAAAATAATTAAAAACATAAAATATACAAAAATGAGAAAAAGATAGGCAAAAATATACAAAACGTAAAAAAGGATATAAAAAACCAAACCACGAATGAACAGTGGAATGCGAACTACTACGAACGTTCGTACCGATTGGCATCGATAAAATAGACTGCAAAAAAACAGTTGACTGCGAACTACTTCAAACGTTCGCACCGATTCGCAATGACAAGTTTATGAATGTAAAAGTGGTTTTGGTATAGATTTAGCTTCCATCATTCCTAGCCCTTGAAGAAATCTATTAAAGGTTGTTTCAGGTAGGGCCTTTGGGAATATGTCAGCAAACTAATCAGAGGATCCTACGAAAGGTATCTCGACGTTGCCATCTTCCACATGATCATTGACGAAGTGGTACCTCAGTGCTATATGTTTCATCTTTGAGTATTGCAACGGGTTGTAACAAATACGAATCCAAATGAACCTGGGATGTGCATGAAGCTTTAGCTATGTATTCAGCCTCAGCTGTTGACAATGATACGCATGTTTGCTTCTTGGATTACCAAATAACTAGTTTTCATTCGAGAAATTGGCATCCACCAGTTGTGCTCTTTCTATCTAAACCACATCCCCCAAGGTCAGCATTTGAAAATGCTTGAACAAAGAAGCCTGAGTGCGTAGGATACCATATGCCTAAAGATGAAGTTCGTTTTAGGTATATGAAAATATTCTTGACTGCCACCATGTGAGGTTCACATGGGTTTGCTTGGAACCTAGCACAATAACACACGAAAAACATAATATTTGGTCTACAAGCTGTTAGATACATCAATGGCATCCGAAAATGTCATGAATGATAGCGGGCATGCATCTTTGAAATGTGGCTGACGCATTACATAGTCCAAATGGCATCCGACAATAGGCAAGAGTCTTGCTTAGATATGTAAATGTTGTCTTTTCTTTGTCCCGTGGATCAATGGGAATCTAAAAATATCCTACAAAAACATATAAAAAACAATAATAAAGATGACCAGATAAACGCTCAATCATTTGATCGATAAAAGGTAATGGAAAGTGGTATTTGCAAGTGACATCATTTAACTTTTGATAATCGATGTACACTCGCCAACCGATTACCGTTCGTGCCGGAATAAGCTCACTCTTTTCATTTACTACCATTGTCATTCCAATCTTCTTTGGTACCACATGAATTGGGCTAACCCATGGACTATTGGAAATGAAATATATGATTTGACATCCAACAATTTCACCACTTCTTTCTTAACCACTTCTGCGTTTTTCAATCTAATCGTCTTTACAGTTGTACTATTGGTTTGGACCCTTTTTCTAGGTTGATTTTATGTGAGCAATATGAAGGGCTAATTCCTTTTATGTCGGTAATATTCCAGGTGATGACGTTTTTTGAGTTTTCTTAATACTTCAACCAAACTCTTATTCTCTTTGGGCTTAATATCAGCTACTATAACAACAGGCTTCTACTTATTTTCCTCTAAAAAGACATATTCTATATGTTCGGGTAAAGTCTTCAATTCGAATTTTGGGTTTTGATTAGTCTTCACGATGTAGTCATCTTCCTTCCACGCCATGGTGACTTCAATTGGTTCGACTGATCGTGGATTTTTAGTGGACCACGTCATGGCAGAGGTATCGCCACGCCGTAGTTGGTCTTCTATTGGCATTTTAAGTTCTTCAAATTCACTCTCTTCTAGAATCCTATCCAACTCTTCTAAGTCATGTTCAGCATCAAAATCATTTTCTTTTAGAACCATGTGCCCCTCAATATTTTTGTCCTTCCACCCTTTCAATTCATTTCCAACACCTCATCAAAGATATTCACCAAGAAAGTTGTGTCATCGACTATCATTGAATGTTTCATAGCTCCATCCACCCCAAAAGTGATAGCCTATTCTCATACTCTAAGGGTGAGTTTGGACTCTCATATGTCCACTAAAGCCTGTGCGGTGCTAAGGAAACGCCTTTCCAAGAATGATCGGAACTTGGTTATCTTCTTCCATATCTAGAATAGCAAAATCTGTAGGAAAACAAACTTCTCAAATTTAACTAATAATTCCTTACATATACCTCTTGGAAAAGTCACCATCTAGTTGGCAAGGTGGATTTCCATTTGAATTGGCCTCGACCCAGGAAGATTTAGTTTCTTGATAAACGAGTAAGGCATGAGATTG